GGTGCTCGTGCAGAGTTGTTCACACAACATGGGCACGGGTCTCCCCAAGAGAGGCAGGGTAATCCTTTCTCCCTTGACAGACGATGCAGCTTGTAGCGTGCACCTGTCGGGGTTCGCTTTTCAAACTTATCACGAGCTTTGATAAGTTTGTCGTTCCAAGCGTCACGACCTACATCCTCAAGGTTATGGATGTAGGCGTTCCACGCCTGAAGTTTTGAGGGACCATCACGCTTGTGATTCCCACTGTACCATCGATGTCTGAAGAAAGCATCGATGAAGAATTCATATTCAGCGCGATAGTTTTTCGCGCTGGGGTCAAGGTGATGGATCCTTGACGAATCGAACAATCGTGTTCGATAACGATCACTCGTCATCGCCGACAAGTGATCCATGACGGATTTTGGAGGCATCCATGCCTTCTTTTCAGGAGCGAGACGCAACACATTGCGGTCCCGCTCTTCCTTCGACGTGCCAACAGAAGGACTGGCACCTCGTTGCGAAGTGGTGTCAATAGGAGAACCAACACCACTGTGAGCGCCCGAGTCTCGCGACCTCGAGCGCCTTCGCTTCGGCGATGGTTCATCTGATTCATCAGATGAACCAAAGATGCTGCGACGCAAAGCATCGTCCGTGCCACGCTTGGCAGGCGGCTTGGATTCAATCGCCGTCGATACGGATCCGTCATCCGTATCAGGAGAGTACGAGACACCGAGCTCGTACTCTGTGAAGACACGAGTGTCTTCATGACCAGCGCCTGCACCACCAAGTGACACAGGCTGGGTCGCTTCAGCAACCGATGAGACATCAGTTGCTGTTGTTTCTGCTTCGGCGTCCGCACAGAGACGTGCAGACGCGCTCTCGGCGGCCTTGCTCGCGCATCGCATGGGCTTGTTTACCATGCGATGAAATGTTGGAAAGTGGACGCGGACCAACAAGTGCAAACCCTGTCCCAAATGATTTGGGACGAGTATCCATTTAGTCAATCAGTCACTAAAGTGACTGATGGTTAAGGGGGGGGTGATGTAACGGGGTGAATCGTAACATAACAATTTATAAGAAATTGTTAATAGAATATAACTATGAGAGTTATATTCTCAGAATATTGTCATAAGGACAAATATTCTGTAGCACTTACAAGTAGTTCCTAATTGGTTGATATAGGCCATTAGATCAACCAACGAAGACGCGCCACGACAGACGCACGCAATGAGTGGTGAGCAGATAACCGATTTACACATTTGTATTTAGACATAGTTAGATGAAGGTAAATAGTGATTTATTGCAGACATTAACTATTATAAATACAGTTCTACTTTTTACTTTAACCAAGTACTCGCTTCTTCTTACCGTCTTCCTCTGCACGTACCAGTGTACGTGAAGTTACGAGGCACCGCCTTATTCTGTCATCAGAATAAGTAGCTTGTACTGTCACCAGTACAAGCTTCAGGGTGCCCCGTTACAGTGTAGAGCTTGTCAATTCACGGTCTTGTCATTTAGATTTAGCCTATTGATCCAGCGTAACAGCTGGAGATTCCGAAGGCTCGTCCCTGATCATCTAAAATTTGGTTTTGGAAGGAAAACGAAGTGCTCTCAGGTGTAAAGGGGTGAGATTCCCCATTACCACCTTACACTAAGGGCTTCAAGGAATTGCTGTTATTCTTTAAGGTAGAATCAACTCTATTTATTTTGTCTTTTAATCGACCTAAGTACGAAAGGCTTCCCTTGTTTGTGGGATCCACTCATTTGCAGGTGAATAACTATTGGCTAATTATTGGGTCTGGCACCTTTATAACAGACGCAAAATAAAAATACGTGCAGTACCCGCGAATCGGATAATGCCTATGCCTACTTATATATGAAATTTATAATCGCTATGACTACTTGTAATATAGGTTGCCTTGTTGCAACTGGCGACAATGTGTGGAACACTAAGTCTACCGACATGATTCACGTCAAGGCCCATTCTCTCGCTCTCCCATAAAGCTTTAAGACAATCAGTGCGAACTGTTGATGGTAAAGCTTAATCAGGCCTAATCACATGGCCATCTCAATCATACGGACCCAGAGGATGATATTCTCCTTCTCCTTTCCTGAGTAGTTTTCATCTTCCACTCTAAGGGACGAGGCATAACCACTTCATGAAAAACATGCACATAGCGTTTAAACATAGCCGACTCCATTTGGGGTTGGACGTGCCCTGGTAAGGACTCTTCATACTGCAGGAAGTCTTCAACACGTGCAGTCAGCACCGCCGGGCCTTGTGATACAAGAATTTTACATAGTCTGAACCCAAGGATGCAGTCGGATTATCAAGCGTGACCTTTGGGGTTCCAAAGGGAAGAGCTTCCATTCTCACATAGGACAGGTCTTTAAAAGCTCAGATATAGATTGAATACGAAAGCTACCGAGTGTAGCGGATCTACACAGCTCCGTAAGTCAGAGGAGTACTTGGTGATCAAAGAGAGATGTTAGTTCGAAAGAAATAGTTTCTATGAGTCAACAAGATTTAGGTTTCTGTTCAGGGGGCCGAACAAATTAGCGATCTGCAGCACTTTGTGCTTAAAAGTAGCTACCTCAGGGAGGTGCTGCTAGCCCTTAACGATCTACGATCAGATACGCCTCGCAAGGCACGTGTCTTAGATAAGATCAAAAGGAAGGTGAGCTTTTTACGATTAACTTTGTAGAATATCTTAATTCTGATGTTACCTAATCTAGTCACTCATATTCTAAATTAGTATCTTCAAATTATTTACTATCTTGTGGCTGACACCTTCAGCCCCTATAAAACGGATCATACATTCCATATCTATTTCAGTAGTAGGCCATACCGTGTGTCAAAGATACAGGGTACCGAGTACCCTACGATGCGTAACCCCTTTACATTGACGGTTTTGTTTTTGTCCTAATCGTTCTTTCTACCAGTGTCATCTTGGACGTTGTTGTTGTTGACTTGTATGTTTCATCACCATATGCGTCCCCGTTCAATCTCCGTTCCCATGCTTAAGTTCTTCTAAACACTAACCGTATTTAATTCTGCATGTACAACCACTTGTACGGCTTCAAATTTGCCACTTCTATACCTATAATGTACATGAATCTCCTCCTTCCATGTAGGTCAAATTGCCTCAGCAGAGTTTTCTTACGACAGGATGGCAGGCTCATCCCTGCAGCTCATATCCGAAAGATGGTTATAATAATTAACATAGCGAGCAAAGACATAGTCAAGGAGCTCCGACGAATAAAGACCGAACATAGGTCTTTACAAGACAGTCGAAGATCAACAGTGACTTACGCTTACTCACGATTGCTCAATGTTGTTCATCTCTATTTAGTTACGGCTGGAGACAACTATCAGGACTCAATAAGCGGAGAGGCAAAATGCCAAATAGTTATGGACCTGTCCGATTAGCGTAGACTAAAAATTCGAGAAGGCCTCAAGACGTACACGAAGTGCATCCGGGCCTTGTGCCACTACAAGAGGCACCTGCTCGTGCCTGATCAACGCCTTGAGCTTTTCAAGCGTGATGTGCTATGCCTCAGGGAGGCTCAGGGCCGTTTCCATCCTCGTATAGGATTTAGTCTGAGAAGACTCAGGTGTAGTTCGACTAAATGTGCTACCAAGTGTAGCGGTTCTCCTTAGCGCTCCTTAACATAGGAAGTCTTCGACTCTAAGAGTCTCTGAGTTATGACAAACTAACAACGACGTACAGTCGTTCAAGCACATAAGCTTAAATATCCCGGTTCAAAGGGGAACTGACTCACGGAATCACACTCTAACTAACGACTACTAGTCAAACAAGAGTAAGCGCCTTGACCATGCTACGACTCTTAACAACACTTAGCCTGTGCTAGGCACTCGTGTCCACTGATTCAAAAGAGAAACCGAACATTTTTATTTGTTTAGCTACGGTAATGAAACCCTAAAACCTTGTCTGCCTGTCTACATTACGATCTTATGACAGAAGTCTGATCCCTTATCCTAATTCGATAAGGTGCGATATTACCGTAAGTACGTGGTACCAAGACTGTACCACGCAGACCCACCGATCTTCACTTGGTGTGGACACACCACATAACCGGTTCTCTAACCGCGTGTACCCCGTTACAAAGTAGTTGACCTACTACTTCGAAGCCAACTGACCGATTTGCATTGATGCTATCATGATATCAGAAGTATTAAGACCTGTTTGCTGCGTTTAAATAAAAGACTTTCATCATAATTGTTTAATGATACGTCAGATAAGGACCTGTGGCCTAAACTGTGCTGCCTCCTAGATCTACTACCTGGCAGTGTGTGTTGTGCTGTCTAGAGTAGCAAGTACGACGTCTGCTGCCGAACAGTGCAAAACTTTACTGCTAATGTCCACAATAATCTTGGATCACCCACGACTGGCGGACTTGCGCGTGGCAGTCCTCGTCAAGAGCGTGAAAAGACTGCAGACGGAATAGCTGTAGGAATCAGTAAGTGTCTCAGGTGGCACCACTAGTGTCACAATACTGAACCTTGTGTTAGCAGAATGTCATTCACTAACCCTTGTTGAACACAAAAATTTAGTGAGCGGACGATTTCATTGATTGAAACGAGGCAGTTGTTGCGCGATAGATCCGCGTTGATCAGTCCGAGAATTGGGCCTCACGCGTAATCGCGTGCGCCTAAATCTCATACCCTCGAACATCACCGCTTTCGTAACCTTAGGTGTCGTACTGACTTGCTATATCCTGTGACAATAGGGGTTTCAAATCTTTCAACGCTTTTTTCGACTCAGCGTACGCAAACTGCCATCCTTACACGCAAAGTACAATTATCGTATAAGCGCGACGAGTTTATCTCATACGACACAAGAAGTTATCTTGCAGAATAACGAAACGAAGAAAAAGGAAAGGATCCGAAGCCAACTACCGTCATAGACTGCACAAGGTAAAAGTGGAGCGTACGATAAACATTTGCAATCGTAAAGATGCGCTTAAGCCTACTACAGCCGTCTTGGTTCTGTCTGCGCTCAAAACTTATGGTCAGTCCATAGACAATTGTAATCTTCAGGATGCCAAATAGATTGTAGACGCGGGAAATTGTACACATCTCGAAATACTTTGCAGTCGACTGCCTCAGGAATCCAAATCAATTGTAGCTCCGGCAGCCTCGTGATGCCCTCAACTGTTGTCACAGGCGTGAGTCCGAGATCCAGTATCTCTAGACGCGTCAAGGCAGCCAGGGGAGAGACGTGTTCCACCTTGGTCGCATTCAGCCACAAACGCCGCATTCTATGCATTCCAGAGAGCAACGCGACGTCCTTGAAATCCACCCGACCAATTAAGGAGAGCTCTTCCAGCTTTGTGAGCTGCAAAAGACAGTCGAAACTGGTCTGATACTGCTTGTGACGACGCGCTAGCTGCCGCTTCTTGCGATCAGGCAGATCCAGCACGAGCTTCTGCAAATTTGCAAGAGCACCCAGAGGTGCGAGATCTTCAAAAAGAACGTCCAGCAGCTCAAGTTGGGTTAGCTGGACAAAGCCCTCGAGAGGGATAAGATCCATGACTTGTGCCGTCGGCGGCAACGACATCGAAAATCTCGTGAGTGTTGGCATGTCACCCAATGCTGCAATCTGAGATAAGTCTTCAGCACACCATTGCTGTAGTCGCAAGTGGTGCAATGTCGTCGATAACAAAGTCAGGGGCGTGTACTCCGTGAGTGGTGGCAGTTCTAGCGACCTCAAATCTGCCCGCCTACTCAGGCACCTAAGGAATGAACTAGGAACCCGGTGTGTCATGGGAATCTGATGTCCTCTCGTCGAGACCACTGTCGTTCCCCTTTCTTCCACATCTTCTCGCAACACGTCGGCAAGCTCTTCCTGAAAATCATGCTTGTACATCCTCAGCTTTTTCAAATGAGACAGACAGCTTAACCACTCGTACTTTGAAGATGATGCCGGCGACGCAGACTCGTACTCGTCGCGCGTTTCGGTTCCTCGCTCTCTTGTATCCATCAGTAAGTACTCTAGTGCTGTCAACGCACCTAGTGGCCGTCGGTCGTCCACAAATGTCCAGCGAATGTCCAAGTATGTGAGGTTCGGCAACTCTGTAGCAAAGGCAAGATCCGTAAGTCTCGTGTGTTGCAAGTGCAGAATCTCAAGCTCTTCACACTTTAACGTTAGCGTTAACGGTTCCGATGTGGCAAGATTTGAGGCTTTCAGCGAGCGTAACGCCGTCAAGTGCTGCAACACATTCAAATCCGATGAAACGTAATTCTTACTCACATCCAGTGTCTCCAAAAGTGACAGCGAGTATAGTGCATTAAAGTCCACAATTCTCGTCTCGGACACGTCCAGTACTCGCAACTCTGGCAGGGATTCCACGATTGCAAGTGACGTGACGTTTGTGCGGCGTACGCTCAGTGACTGCAAGTGAGGCAGTACTGCAAGTGGAGCCAAATCTACGACATCTGTGAGAGACAAATCTAATTTTCGCAAATGCCACGTGGTCCGTGGCTGAATCTCCGCGACCGTGAGCAAGTCCGATAGCGTGATCTCTGCATCCGAAACATGGAGCTCCTTAAGGGTCGGCAACAGTTGCAGAACCGCTGCTACATTGATGACGGGATCCGCTTCCTCCATCATATCTTCCACATCGTCGTGACTAGACTCCTCAGGTGTCCAATAAGGGTAGTCCCACAACCGAAGGGACTGGAGCGAAGGTAGCACCCGAAGGAGTTGGAGCAGATACATGCCTGAGCGTGGAGCTAAAACGTTCATAATACAACAAAGCAGTTCCGGTTTCATGCGTCGCAAGAAACTATTTGTGTAGTAACTGGCTGTAGATTGGGAATCATTGGATGCAGAGCGTTTGAGCAGTGGCGGTGGGGGCACGCGCAGAACCGCTTGGGCCATGACGAAACGACGCAAATCCGAGCGAGCGAGTGAGCGACTGCAGGACGAGAGCGTCTGCCAGTCGCGAAAGCGCAGGAAGCTCACGACAAAGCGCAGGACGTCCGTCTTGCCATCCAACTCGCCCAGAAAGGCACTTGTCATGGTGGACGAACCTCGTACGTTGTTGTGGTCGAAAGTATCAATAAGTGAGCGCAACGGTGTCTGATCGGACGCATTCATTGGCTTGTGAGGGCGACTTTTTAGGCGTTTTGCTGCTGTTCGCTTTTGTTTTCTTTTGATTTGATTGTCGCGTAAAGGTTAACGGTGTGGTAGCGTGCGACTGAGACTTCGGGTTTTGGGTGGGGCTATCAGCTATTATTCCCCGTGAAAAGGATTCGATGGCATATCATCCATAATCAAAAGGATTGGAGACGCTAGATGCGCTTTGCGCCTTGTAGTTTCGACAAGTGTCTGTCATTGCTGTGCTATAAACACTTATAACCGAAAGTTGCAATTCCACGTGCTTGGCAAACACTAAACTCCATTTGCATCTTGAATGAAGTTTAAAAACACGACATAATCAAGTGATCCATCGTTGTGACCTCAGATCAGCATTCGTTGCATCATGTGCACATTTTTAGGAGTATCAGCCATTCGCTTGTGTATGCAAGTGTGTGATGTCCACATGATGGTAGCATGATTTAGGACACATTTCACACTAAATTTCCTGAAAACTCTGAATTAAAACCAATTTGTTTCACCTTGGACACACGTACCTGTAGCACTTACGTACGGCGGTCATGACAAGTGAAACATGAGTTGTATCTGTTCGTGATCACGCATGGCACCGATCGGTGCGCAAAGTTCGCTTGGATTGAGTTTATTTAAGACAGGTCGAATTGGAATTGGTACGCGTTAAGCAACTGCCGAATCTATAGTACACCGCACACGGCAGCGGGTGGCATGCTCGTTATCTTTGTCAATAGACACCGGTGAATGCGAGTCGGTGGACACAAAATGCATTCGATATTTAACTTCGATGGGCGCAAATGACATGTTCTCGTAAATCGCTTTATCATGATGATGGTTGTTTCATGGTCATCCGTTCTGCGGCACTACCTCCTCGTGCGCACGAAATCAACCCACTAGCTAAATGAACTGACTGCATCAAGCTACGCGTGAGCTGTCGCACAAAAGAGCGACAAGAGCGAAAACATTAAGTAAGCCTGGCGTAACAATATTATTGCGACGAGTCGTGACAGTGTGTAGACATCGGACATTAGTAAGCCTGACGTATTCAATGTTCTTTTGACGAGTCGTGACAGTGTGTAGTCATGTTATCTTGGTTTTACAACTAGCAGCATTCATTCTACTAAGACAGATTGCTTTGTCTTTTCGCAACCTTAAGTTGCGCAGCCGTGCAAACGCCATTTGTTGATCATTTTAGCGACCGAGAGCGTATGATGCCTGAAAGCGGAGTGCTCGCAGTAAACTTGTCGTTTTAGGAAGTCATAAGATGACCATCATCTAAAAAAAATGAATAGTGACCAATCAGTTGGCCTGTAAAGGTCAGCAGTCCAACCCAAGCACGATGGGAGTAGTGATAATTGTGGTTTCTCAGGTATTCCGTGCCAGGCCAAGCTCTCATGCACCACTAGAAATGCACGTTGATCGGTGTCTCTTACGAGTCCAATCTACCACAGGTAGGAAACGGCGGAGGTCAGACCAAAAACTGTTTGGCGACGGAATACTCCTTTAAAAGCCCCACTTGCTTATAAATATCAAATTGTACATCAATTAACTATGAAGTTTGCCGAGCACATATATCACTGATATAAGTTAACTCGTGAAACTCGATTGACAATACACTGTCGTAAGGAATAATTGCAGATAAAGAAGGTTAAACTCGGCGAATCGATCGGGACGCACATAAGATCGACCCTTGCACCACAAAAGTCACTAGCAAATAGTCGCATTAATGAGTTGTAAAACACGCTCATAGTACGATATGTACTCCAGTAGTTAATCACCAACAGCAACCTTTTTTCACAAGAGTGAGCTCGACTTCGAGTTCGAAGGTACGAACATCAGGTGGTATTTAGACTTTCACGCATGTGCGGGCCAGCCATAAAGGGGCGTAAGATGGGTAAAACGATGCGTCGATATCTGGTGCAAAATAAGGACTCGGACATGCACGCACGCTGAAGTGTGGCACATTGCGAATATACGTGGAACGTGAGCAATGGCGCTTTACTAATTAATTATACCAAGTCCTTGGTGAATGAATCCCCTCTTACAGATAAACTGCTTGTGGTAAAGAAAACGACATAGTATCGCATTAGAAATGAGTTGGCAGCTCCAAGCATGCGCATGATAGTACATCTCTGGTTGCGCCGAAACTCAGCATGGCCATCACATGGGCTCTAGCATAGTAGGTGGAGTGGTGCATGCGGCGTCATCGCATCGGCTGGGTCCTCTACATATGTTGAGATGCTACAGAAGCATCCGGTAGTGTTGCATATTTACCAGTGCAAGGATTGGCAATTGCGTCTGCGCATCTGAGTTACAGGATGCATAGATGGCGTGTTGCTCAGCTTACTTGCACTTTCCGTCGTTTCTTCAACTATCCTTTCGTGCTATCATGGCTTCGTCCGCGAAGTGGAGCTCTCATTTCCACGTGGTGGTTGCACTACTGGCAAGGAACAGCAAGTTGGCGATACGGAAAGCGAGATGTTTGTGTATAGGTGAGTATCGTTGACGGATGGCTTTGAGGAAGTCTATTACTACTCAAACTGCAACGACTGACAATCCAGAGAGGTGAGGGTAGAGCTACTGTGCTATTATATGAACTGCATTGTTGCTCTGTTGCCCTGTGTATTGTACATATACCAAGGAGAAAGCCGCTCGATCCGATAAAAAACATCGCAGTGTGAATACACAACGTGCATGCTTGCATTCGCCGAGAAAATTGGTTTCCTATTACAACAACGTTGTTAGAAGTGCTCACTGCAGTCGCTGAAGTGTTGTCTATTACTATTGCACAGCCGGCGACATGACTCGTTGAGAATCGTTCAAGGAATTCCAGCTTTGGCTTGAGTGACTTGGACTATTCATGTGTGTGCTTACTTGTAGCTGACCGTTATCAACGTCGTGCATGCAGCACTTGTCTGCAAAGGATGGCACGCATCGTGGACGTCCACATCACCTGCTCTGTGTGGACGGTTGTATCACCGTTTTGAGCGATTCTCATGCAGCATCATAGTTGTGTGCTCGACTGATAAATTCTGCATGGTGATTCAAGGGATACAACACAAAGCTATCACGTGCATTGTGTTACTTGTTCTTAAAACTGACTTGTCAAGAGAGGAGGCGCTCTGATCTCTCCTCTCTTCATTACTATGATGTACATCGTCGTCACGATGAGCTTCCTCCGCGATAACTCACTTGCTCCGACTTAGTTGCTGCTGCTGGTGTTGTTACGGATATAGTACGGTTCGTCCTGGAACTCCGCGTCACAGTACGGGAACAGCGTGGGGTCGTCCGTGGGCGTAAACAGGTGCTTGCCAGCATCAATCATCACATACGAACCCGCAAAGGCGCAGACGACAATGACCACCATGGACGCCCCCTTATCCCAAATAGACATGGACTTCCAGCATACTCGCCAGTAGATGATCACTGGTAATAGCAAACAGCTCATCGTGTGGGCAGTGGCACCCGTGAAGTCCTGGAGGTCGATAAAGCGCTTGCGTGCCAGCACAGCAATGACCACCAGAATTCCAACGATCGTGAGCCGCAGAGCCACATAGCGCAGCGGGTTCTTGCGGTACGGCGCATTCACTTCTTCTGCTGTGATGCCGCCGAACTCCAGCGCGACCCGCAAGTGTGACATCCGTCCTGATTCTTTCTCGGCGAGACTGGCGACCGACACTTGACGGGAGTGAGTCATGTCCACAGGCGTCGAGCTCTGCATGTACGAGCGCTTCTCCTGCGCCTCGGGATCCATCTCGGCGATCATCTGGTCTAGGAGCTCTCCGTTGTATTGAACCACATCGGGACTCTTGTGCATGCCGAGAATCAGCCGCTCGGCGATAAAAAACGGTGGCATCATGAGCGTCGAGAAAGCGATGGAGATGTGGATCTGCATGAACAAATACGCCATCACCACGGCGCCACGGTCGGCACTGAAGCCGAGAGGAGCCAAACCAAGAGGGTCCGACGTGTTCACGATCGAGTAGAGGATGTTGCCGGACAATTGGCAGCCACCTGCAGTGTAGCCAGCCAGCGCCATGACAATGAAGAGCGCCGAGATGAACAGGATCGTAATCAACACGACACGAGGCATACGCTGCGGCTGCGAGTGTTCACGTTGGAGATCAGGGACGACAATTGCAGCGCCGTAGGCCAGTGCGAGGTTTCCAAAACATGTCAAGACCTGATGAGCCGAAATCGCAGGAGAAGGGGCGGAGGTGTGGCCGCGCATGTTCCACTGCAAGACAGACACGGCAATGACATCAGCAATGATCGTGCCGAGACAACCGGCGAAGGCCATACCGGAACTCTCCTTTAGTGTCGGAATCAAACACACGGGGGCAACCATAAGAGCCATGAAGATGATCCAGAAGATCTGACTGAACGAGTCTGGAAACAGCACTTCCAGCATCGTACTACCAAGTATGAGGAATGCAATGGGGACAAGGAGGCACACACCCATTTGCGAAGCTACCGTGAAGAAACGGCCCCATTTGCCCAGGGCCCACTCGCCCAAGTCACCGTACGTCCGCACTGAGGAGGGTGCCACGAGCATCACTTTGGACAGCTTGAGCGTGGCGTACGTGTTGGCAAAGATCATGAAACAGAGAGCCCCGGTGGCGAATACGGGACCGGCACGAGCGTAATTGGACGGCATGGCCAGCGATCCGATGCCGCAGACGCAACAGAAAAGATTAAAGGATGTTTTCGCATCTTCCAGCGTGAAGAACGGGCCCTTGATATGAGGCATGGGCATTGCGGACGTTAGAGCGCGATGAGAAGAACCGAGGATGACAGCTCGTAGGACGCAGGAAGCAGTTGTGAACTACCTCAGGTGGAGAAAATTGGAAAGTGGACAACGTTAGCGCGCGCGATACCCATTCGACTCGGACCACGGAACTCTTGAAAGGGTTTGCTTCAGCAAACATGCCTTTCTCCTACACGACATTGAGCCAGACAGAACCGCTTCACTTGGCGGTTCTTTCATTTCAAGCAAGCGCATACTCGATGCAAATGTAAAGCTATTGCACTAGTACGAAGTGCCGGGGGCCTTTTGTGTTAAAGAAGCGATTGGAGCCCAAGCGATGCATGCTGTGCAGCCTATCTCACGGACGGACTCAGGTTTAGCCTATGTGTGCGTTTTGTTAGCTCATGTCCCTGCCATGTTTGCAGTAGCCAGTAGTTGCGGCTGCAGATGAGCATATTGAGACCAAGTAGAAGCTCGTCTGGTTTAGGATCCAGAGCACCACATGCAGGTGAAGCGCGGACGCAGCACTACATAAGCGTGGTGGACTTTGCGGACGCAAAATGTTGAAGTCCCTTTCGCGACATTGCAATGCGCTCGTACGAAATTATTGTCGCTCGTGCAGTCGTTCATTTGTTATCTGTTTCTTAAAGAGGCAGAGTTTGCTGTACCAGGTGGCCAGTCTGCGAAATGTAGCGTCAAACCATCGTCTTAGGGTCAGCTCAACGACAGGACCTTTTTGTAGGGGTGCAGCATCCTCGTTCGAGTCGGTTTGAGATTGCCTGAAATGCATATGTCCCCCGCCCTTCCCATCGTTGCCAAACAGACCGAAACGTAGCATAGCTACCTTTCTGCACGTATCAGCCATTCGTTTTGGTTAGCCAATCGCTACGATTATTCTCGCGTGACGCACTGCGTATCGAATGCAACGACGGACAGCTACTGGCTAAATGCTCCTACCATATGGAACGGCTCTTTTATCGATCGACCTAACAAAACCGTATCAGATAAGCCGGCGATCAACTGCTTTTGAATGAATCAACTGAGACCAGATAGGTATCGCATAAAGCACTTGTCACGAATGTCGTCTGTACGATATGTCAAATGATGTGTTTGTTGTGTGCCGAGGATGCATGGGGTGACAGCACATGCAATGGCGCAAACGACCAATATTGTAGGACGAGGGCGAAGGTGGTCGTGTTGCGATGCTGCAGATAACATTTTAGACTGTATCGATTTTGAAGGTACAGTCCTTCATTATCAAGCAAGCTACAATGTCGGCTGATTTAAAGCAACGTAGGCAAATGGATGACCAAATTAGTTTCCTTGTTGCGAAGCAAATTGAAAACTCTTGGCAAATATGGTCTTTGGTTAGTTGTGGTACAGCGCGTCCATGAAGATCACACAGACGCTGTAAGAAGTGCCCATTACATTATTGCGAGCCCGAAGGGTGATGCCATTAGTAACTGTGTGCAAGTGAATACCGGACTTTTAAATACCTATTTCCTTTTTGTGTGTACGTCTATAAATAACGCTGGATGTACCTAACACGTTGTACTATGTGCGCTGTAGGATATCCCCTCTCATATGTAAATCTGCGTTCAAGGCGTAACTGTAACGGGGTAGCCCGTTACATGGTATTGACACCAAACGGTGTCAATAAGGATATTGTCTAGCATGACAATATTCTACCGATATTATCCAAGATGGAGAATATTAAAAGAAATTATCCCCTTTAGATAAGATTCTTGCGCTGCTCCAAGATTGGTTGATAAAAGACATATCACCATAGTCTACCACCAATCGCTGCTAGACGCGCGCAATGAGTGGTGAGCAGGTTGTCGTCATACGACGACGTAGTTTGACATAGTTAGATAAAGATTGAAGTTATATTGATAACTTGACAGTTCTCTTTTTACCTTTATTTGAACGAGTCGTTCAAGTAGATTAGCTTCCTCTGCATGTACTTGTAACAAGGCACCCTGAAGCTTGCACTGGTAACAGTACAAGCTACTTATACTAATGACGAAATAAGGCGGTGCCTCGGAACTTCACGTACACTCTTACGTGCCGAGGAAGACGGTAAGAAGAAGCGAGTACTTGGTTAAAGTAAAAAGTAGAACTGTATTTATAATAGTTAATGTCTGTTAAGAAACCACTATTTATTCTCATCTAACTATGTCTGAATACAAATGTGTTTATCAACTATCTGCTCACCACTCATTGCGTGCGTCTGTCGTGGCGCGTCTTCGCTGGTTGATACAATGGCCTGTATCAACCAATTAGGAACTACTTGTAAGTGCTACAGAATATTTGTCCTTATGACAATATTCTGAGAATATAACTCTTATTGTTATATTCTATTAACAATTTCTTATAAATTGTTATGTAACGATTCACCCCGTTACACCCCCCCTTAACCATCAGTCACTTTAGTGACTGATCGACTAAATGGATACTCGTCCCAAATCATTTGGGACAGGGTTTGCACTTGTTGGTCCGCGTCCACTTTCCAACATTTCATCGCATGGTAAACAAGCCCATGCGATGCGCGAGCAAGGCCGCCGAGAGCGCGTCCGCACGTCTCTGTGCGGATGCCGAAGCAGAAACCACAGCAACTGATGTCTCATCGGTTGCTGAAGCGACTCAGCCTGTGTCACCTGGTGATGCAGGCGCTGGTCATGAAGACACTCATGTCTTCACAGAGTACGAGCTCGGTGTCTCATACTCTCCTGATACGGAAGACGGATCCGTATCGACGGCGATTGAATCCAATCCGCCTGTCAAGCGTGGCATGGATGATGCTATGCGTCGTAGCATCTTTGGTTCATCTGATGAATCAGATGAACCATCGCCGAAGCGAAGGCGCTCGAGGTCGCGAGACTCGGGCGCTCACAGTGGTGTTGGTTCTCCTATTGACACCACTTCGCAACGAGGTGCCAGTCCTTCTGTTGGCACGTCGCAGGAAGAGCGGGACCGCAATGTGTTGCGTCTCGCTCCTGAGAAGAAGGCATGGATGCCTCCCAAATCTGTCATGGATCACTTGTCGGCGACGACGAGTGATCGTTATCGAATACGGTTGTTCGATTCGTCAAGGATCCATCACCTTGACCCCAGCGCGAAAAACTGTCGCGCTGAAAACGAATTCTTCATCGATGCTTTCTTCAGACATCGATGGTACAGTGGGAATCACAAACGTGATGGTCCCTCACTACTTCAGGCGTGGAACGCCTACATCCATAACCTCGAGGATGTAGGTCGTGACGCTTGGAACGACAAACTTATCAAAGCTCGTGATAAGTTTGAAAAGCGAACCCCGACAGGTGCACGCTACAAGCTGCATCGTCTGTCAAGGGAGAAAGGATTACCCTGCCTCTCTTGGGGAGACTCGTGCCCATGTTGTGTGAACAACTCTGCACGAGCACCTAAGGAGGCTTACCTCCTTACTAGTCCGTGGTGGCGCGTACGTGTCTCTACTGAGATGTACGAAGGGATTGACAACCTGAAATCCCTTTACGACCGTGCTGGGAAGACTTTTTCCGGTGGTCCTTCTGCGGCACAGGATGTGCTGCGTCGTACTGCTCAACCAGACCCAGTACGTCGATCATCTGTTGGGAGCGGGGCTCCCAAGTATCCCAGGACGGGGGATAGCCGCGCCACAGGACGAGATAACTCGTCCGACGTCCGTTCACGTAGGGGTGGTTCAAAAGCTGCTCAACTAGATAGCGCTGGCCACCGCGAGAGTCCTCTAATGGAGGTGGAGGAGGAGTAAAGACGCTCTCCACACGATCATGGGGATCCGTGTGCTCCCGAGAGCTTCTTTGATTGCGTAACGCAGGGGTTACGCAACGATCTCTAACATGAGCGGGACAGGCGTCTCCAAATGGCGGACACTGTCTCGAAGCATCGAGCTGAGTTTGCCTTTGCTCAGCTTGAGAACGAGAGATCTCTGACATCTCTTCGTGACGAGCTAAGGGTAGCTCGTGGGATTGTTGATCGGTCTCGGAATGAGATAGCTGCTCTCCAGACCCTTGTCGATGCCCACCATCGGGAGCACAAGGCTCTCTGCGAGATGCTTGAGCGCAAGGGCGTTCTTCATCGGAAGAAGCAGCGTACTGATGGTACGGCGTAAGCCGACCAACGTAAAACGTGGGATGCGGTCGCATCTTACGTGGCAACTCGATCGTGTATGCATTGCCTAGGCGGTGCAATACACGAAAAGGGCCGATGTACTTGGGTAGTAGTTTACTGCTACCCAAGTTAGTCACTACATGCTTTGGTAGATTAACCGTAGACAGTAGGACTAAGTCACCTTTATTAAATAAAAGAGTGTTTGCCCTTCCATTCTTGTCAGCAATTTGCTTTTGCTTATCTATCGCTTCAGCGATAGAGTCTTGCACAAAACGGACTACCGTTTCACGAGCCAGTATGAACTCATCTGCTGACTCGTTAGCTTCAGTGCGCTGTGAGTGCACTGCAGCAACATCAACCTTTTCTTCAGTGAGGGCTTCCGCACTCTCACTGGGATCATCTTCTTCAGTGAGGGCTTCCGCACTCTCACTGGCATCACCATCTTCGATACCGATGTTGTCGATATCAGCATCAAACGCAATGACTTCTTCGTTAGAGCGTGATGAGCGTGAACCAAATCGGTTTTTGCTCGCGCGAGTCTCTCCCCCCTAAACCAGAGTTACACTCTAGTAAGGTGGGTACATGCGGATGGCGCAAGCCATTCACGTAAAACGGTGTATGTGTCGTGGACGCATGCACCGAGTTGTTAATGGCAAACTCTACCATTGGCAAAAACTCACTCCAACTCTTAAAGGAGTGCACGTATCCTCGAAGTATCTCTTCAAGGACACGATTGTCACGTTCCGTCTGACCATCAGACTCGGAATGATCAGACGTCGACATCTTCAAGCGCGTTCCGAGTGATTTGAACACGGAACGCCAGAAATCAGCAGTGAATCGTGGATCTCTTTCTGATACGAGTTCACGGGGCAACCCATGAA